GAAGTGTTTGATATGAAGATTTGAAATTAATTAAATAGGCTTTCTATGTTATTGCACAACAAACGAATAAATATGCCAGCTGTGGAAAAACAAGCAAATTATCTTCCAAATAGTCCAAACAAATGAGTACCTTTTACAAGTTTATGGCTACATCTCTTTTAAAGTCAACATGTGCACAGCAACACATAGAAGCCTTTCCATGTTCTTCTTTAATGTGACTGCTCTTTGTCACATACATCAGATTTTACTTAAGTGAAACTTAAAGACACTTTTCCAAGGCTTAATGGCTTGCAAACCTACAATTACACATTGCAAGTACACATTTGCATGTGTACTTGCAAAGCATGCACACTCACATTCACCCTCCTTCTCCCTGATTGACAGGGGCTGAACTCAAGCAGGTGAAGTTGCAAAATAAAGCAGACACTTCAGTTCTGGTTGACTCAGTGGCTATGCTTATGAGAAGATTTCCACACCTCCAGATAACCCCTCTCTTAGATAATGGGACTTCCTTCCCATCATTCCTGACGGAGACATTTTCATCCACTTCTCCATCTGGTTAGAAAGTGACAGGAAGACCATTAGGTGGATATGAGGAAATGATTGTAGAATGATGGCTAGTAATTATCTTGATCTTTTTATTTATTTATTTTTTTTATTATAATGATTTTACAAAAGTAAAAGTAAAGTAAAAGTTTGTGTAAAGATTTTACAAAACATAGGGAACTTGTAAAGTAATTTAAGCCTGTGTTCAAGATTTAGCTGTCAAATAAATCCCTTCAAATTTCACTCTGGAGTTGAAACATTAACTTCAAGTTGCCCGGATCATATTCATAGCTACCATATCTAACAAAATATTTTTTTTGATTTCGCCTGTGTGCTTATTGTCACACTTTGAATTTTGGCTAAAGAAAACGTTTCTTGAAATAATAATGTTTGCTCACAGGAATCTTTCCCAACATGAGTTGCTCTGCGGTCTTTTCGTCACTCTTCTCAAACACTCCAGAATTAGAATAGAAATATATTGGACATACATTGTTCACAAATTTGCTAAATGCAATTGCTAGATGTGTGCAAATCTGAATTAGAACATGCACCTGATTCTAAAATGAGAGAAAAAAACAACCATATTTGCTCTTAAAATAGATTCATTGATCAAATGAAATTTGTAAATGAGATATTGCATTTATAAACTTGTTCACATTTTTGTAAATTATACAGTGCACAATTCTTGGCATTTTTAAGCCTAGACCTATTGGCGTCTCAAAGATCACACTTAAAAACACAACTGAAAACTGCTGATAATGTTGGTGCAGAGGAATAAGCAGGGAATAAGTCAAACCTCTGAGCTATTGACCGTACAACGATTGGGTGAAGGATGTCACAGAAAGTAGAACTCACCCCCTCCTCAAATTATCTCTATCTTGTATTGTAGTCAATACGTTTTTTTCATCAAATGAATGATCTAAACACAAGCATGACTTGAAGAAAAAAACCTGTTGCAAATTGCAGGAATCTGATCGACTTGTATCCAAGGCAATTCGCTTTGTGAATCCTGTGAAGAAACAAAACAGGTGGCAGGAACAAATAAATTAACAAAACAGAAAAGATTGAAGGCCTTACCTCACCAGTCGTTTTTTTCTGATTGTCCTTTCAGAAACATTGATGTTTTCTGTTCAAACAGAAACCTGTCGGAATTGCAATTTATGCAATGTAACATTTAGGATTTAACAGAAATTTCTTACAGTATTACACTTGTTTGACCTTCAAGAGAACTTGCTGAGATATCCTCCCCACAGGGGAGATTGTTTTTTCTTTCAGTTGAGAAAAATGTAGATTGTAGATTTAAAATAGTTTCAAAGTGATTCTGTGCTCTATACAGATTAACAAGAAAAGCCTCTCGAAGGTGACTGCTGGAGGTTTGTCTTCCTGGGATTGTGTTGATATAAACCAAGAGCTGCAGACTGAGAAGCAGCCAAAACATTTGCTTTCTCTGACAGAGCTTGGCATTTCTAAAGACCATTATATTTGATTGCACCACCAGGTTGCCACTTATCCTCTTAATTGTAATAAAAGCATAATAGGTGTACTTCATTTTCACATTCTGTTGCATTTTTTAAATCTTTGCCAGGCACTTATAATGTATTGCAATTAGCTAATTTCATGATTATCTAGTTTCAGACTTCTCAGTGACTTGATTTTTTTTGTTCTGTTATACAAACTGTGCAAGTGAAAGTTGATGCAGCATCATAATACATTTTAAGTTCTTATGCTGATTCGGCTCGCTAAGCATCTTTCATTTTCCTTTGTTTGAGCCATTCAGATTGGATTTGCGTATGTGGCAAGTGGCGGGGATCAATGTCCTTCTACATATCCTGAGTACACTTAAACTGAGGATCACAAACTGATGGTGAGATATCCCCTTGAGTATTTGATAATGGAGAGTAGCTATAACTCATCATACATGATGAGTTATAGCTCATCATGTATCAGCAGAACATCCTCAGGCCATCCCACTACCACTGAGTGATTGTACACACGATGTTCTTTTTCTAAACTACTGTTAGTTTTATGACAGAAATAATAGGACACACACCTTCAAATATGCGTCATAAGTACACTAAGTATCTCCATGAAGGTCTTGATAATTATGAAGACGTTTTTTTTTTTTTTTATTATTATTCTTTCAAATGACAAGCTACTTTTCGTCAGAAGTGGTTTTGGTCAGTCTCTTTCTCATTGCTAAATTATGAACACTGACACTGAACACTGAGTGTAAGTGAAAAGAAAGCATTATAAAATAAAGGCTTACTGGTAAAATCAGCCCTCTCTAGTAAATAATTTGAGGATAAATTGGCTTCTTTAATTTGTGCCTGTTGTTCACCCCAGGGCGTTAGTTGGAAATGAGTGTTTCGTTGTTTTTGCTGCATACAAGGTTGTGTGTGGCAACAGATGATTAAAGGCATTTCCCACTGCTCTGTAAATAAAGGATCAGTGGGAGTTTTAATTAAATAGACTGGGCATGTGTCAAGTTGGAGTGCTTGCTGATATGAAGATTTGAAAGTAATTAAATAAGTTTTCTAGATTATTGTACAACAAATGAATAAACCTGCGAGTTGTGGAAAAACAAGCAAATTCTCTGAGACAAGTGAAGCATTGATTTTTGGGATTTTTGGGACTCTACTAGACTTATCCCTATCCTTTGTTGGCACATCCTGACAATGTGATTTATTTTTCAGGGACAACATCAGCAACTCAAACCAAAAAATTAAAGGAAATGTTAATTTTGATTTTATAAAACAGGAGTAGAACATTTTCATAAAAATGGTTGGTGTCCAACAAGCTCTATTTAAGTGATTTCTTAATTCTACAGTAATCAGGGCTATGTCCCCTTAATGAAGAGATACACATACATTGCCACTCATTGCATCCCATGTTTAAAAATCAGATAAATATGTACAGTCAAAAAATACACAGCTATTTCCACACATTGGTTCCTATTTATCATAAAAAACTGATCTTTTACCCTCACTGACCAAATTGTATTTCCTCTGAGCTCCCTGTGGTGAACTGAGAGACAAATTGAAAAAGCCAGTCTGGCAGATAATTGCTGAAGCAACTGATTTTAAACAGGTTTGAATGGGATGTTTTGTTGCTTAATGACACTGCCCACCTCCCACAATGCATTATATTTGTGTTAGTGAGAGCAATAATGTCAAGTTTCACTGCATTCCTCAACGAAGCCAGCCTTTGAATACTCAGCGGAATTTGCTAAACTATTCAAACTTGATGACCAAAGAACAAAGGCTTAACAGCCTATTTCAAAAGATGAATGAAAATGACAAATGAGGCAGCTGTGGAAGAATTAGTATAAGAAGTGATTTTTACTTCTAGTGTTCGAAGTTTTATGGGGACATTTCCAAAAGAAATGTGGGATTTATTATTAAACACATTGGAAGATTGTTTATAAGAAAATACATTTTAAAGTAGGGAATGTTCTATTGACTGAATCAAAATTTTGCTTGGAAAAATGTATGTGGTCATCTGCTAATGGTGAGATGTCTTTTATTTTATTCTAATACCTTATTTGGTTCGGATGCATAAACCATTCCATTTTAAGGAGTTGTACCCTGCTTTTACTATGGCCATTGCATCACTATCCAAATATTCTATTCTTCTATTTCAGAAAGACCAAACAAAGAAACATATTTCTTGTGGGAAAAAAAAAGACTTTGAAATATCAAGTAGCAAACTGACTGACAACCAGGAGAACTGGGAGTAACTCAACTTATCTTACATTGCCCTCTCAGCCCCTCGTCTGTGATGGACAAGAGACTTAATTAGTTTATTGACTAAATATGTTGTCCCAGTCTGTGCTTGTGTCACACCATATGAATAATTTACCAAATGTGCCATATGTGGATGTTAGTAGTAACTTAGTAATGATTTATTTCTCTCACACTGTTGACATCAGCTTGATGGTTTTTCTCTCTGCCTTTGTGTCAGCTGATAAGGAACATTGATTTTAAACCCCTTAACTGGCACTGGTGTTGTGTTAACGTGAGTCTTTGTTAATTCTCGCTTTTAGTGTAAATCACTGCAAAATGCATTTTGTATGAATGCTGCTATGCAAATAAACTGACTAATGATTACATAAAATGTTATCTCCCTTCAGTCAGCTGACCACAGCAACAGGTGAAGTGGGGAGTGGGGCGTGGCACAGTGGGTTGCATACTATTAAGTGCCATACATGTCATAAAATAACGAAGCTGTACAAATGAGAAAATAGCCAAATTACCTGTTTTTAAAAAGAGGAACTCTTTAAAAGGTAAAATCATAAAAAATAGTTATTGACTTTGGTATTGTCAAAGTTTTAAAAACAGTTTCAGTCTTAACAGGTGCATTATATGTGTAATAGTAGCCTACTTTCATAACTGAAATGTTACAAGTTGCCATAGCAACTCAAAGCAACTGAGCAAAGAAATGGTCCGACCCGGAAATCTGTTCGACGTTCATTCCGCTGCCGTAAAGAGTTGTGGTGAAACATCATCAACTCAAACCAACTCAAATTTAGTTCCGCAGGTGTTGTAAATCAGCTGAGCTTTAGCAAAACGAGACACACGGTGAGAGTTTTACATTTCTAGGTATTGGGACTTTTTAAATTGGCAACAAATGTGAGGAGCTAGTGCTGACAATATACTAAAGTGAGAGAGGAACTGAACTATACCGGCATCAACGAGAAGCTCATGACAGCGGGTGCACGAGGAGGAAACTTCCCAGTTGAGCAGAACAGCCTGTCTTGATGTGTTAATAATCATGGACGCCGTAGTGAAATTCACAAGCCAAAGCCAAGGGAGAGACCGTATATTCAGGTGCATTTTTCATTTATAAAGTTGTCTAGGCGTATTTCTGACAATAATAATAATAAATCTGCCAAATTGGTGATATTGCTTAAGTAATAATTTTGATAACTTTTCCTGTGTTGTTTTGGTTTTCAGAGCTACACAGTATGCCTGTGCACTGTCGATATATTTACTACGAAACAAGCCTGATAAAAAGGATCTGGTGGCCAGACTTAAAAGTTTGGAAAATAATACAAGTGCTGGACGAAAATGTGAGTATAATTTCAAAAAAGCAATAAATGTGTCACTGATTAAAACATTTTAATGCATGTCATTATCGTTAGACAACTTTCAACGTTTATAAATTAATTTAAATAATACATTTTTAAAAATCCTTGTCAATAGTGTCCCTTCTGCATTTGTCACTCCTTGCCTTATTTTTTACATATTTGGAAATATTAAACTTAAGACCTTTTCATAGTTATGAAAAGGACAATGAGCATTGTGAAAAACCAAGCGTTCTTCCTTTGTGCTTTATGGGATTTTAAATACTTAATATGAGCGGTTTGACTTCAGGGTATTTAAAGCCTTGTAAAATACTTATAAAAAATACAAGGGGTGAACTGAGAGTTTTATGACTTTAACATATAATGTCCCAATTCCCTGTCTCTTGAATGTACAAGAGACAGGTTTGACTTGGAAATGCCTGGAAGTGAGGTCAGGCAATAAAAATATAGCATTTCCTGTTTCTGTTCATGTGGAGCCTCACTAAGTCCAAAGCTGGGCCTCAAAGGGGTACACAATTGATGCACCGCTTAATTATCGCCTCTGCATCTTAGCTGCCACCGCAAGTCTCTACTGATTTGGCAACTTGACTTATTAACTCAGAGACACAATTTTCTCATGATTTCTTAGTAAAACATTTTGGTGGTACATTCATTTGGGACAAGGTCCCAAAGAGGTTCTTAAAGCAGAAAAGCTTTGCTTCAAAAGTGCTGTAGAGTAGACTGTGAAGATACTGCATGAATGTCAACCTTGACCTTTGTGCTACAGAGTTGCTAAAATGCTAAATTTATGTAGTTTGTGTATGGTAACCCGTTAGATGCTTGTGGACTGCTTATAGCAGAATGTTCACTTCATGTTTCTTTTGAACTCATTCCTGCTTTCATTTCTGCCTCCTTTGTCAGTGCTCAGGCTAGGAAATGCAGCCAATTCCATTGTGGCTGCTAAACAAACCATGCAACTCTCTGACCGAGTGCTGTGCCTGTGCCTCACAATGGCCAACATCAACAGGGCCCTCTACTTTATCTGTGATAATGTAGTGTGGGCCACAAATGTTGGCCTCATCCGCAGCATCGACAAGGAACGCTGGAGCATAAATGCCTCTCGCTACTACCTCTTCTCATTAGTGATGAATCTGACCCGAGACCTATATGTAATTCTCCAGTTGATGCAACAGAAAGGGAGAGATAACCGCCTCAAAAGCAAAATGGACCAGCATCTAAGTGACTATCCTGAAGTGGCGGAAGCCGTTATTCCTGAGTTGGATGCCCTTATTTTCCTGCTTCTGGAGACTCTGAGATCAGAACCAACTGTTGCCTTGGACACTGTCAAAAACATCTGTGATCTCTTCATTCCTTTAGATAGGCTGGGCATTTACAAGTCAAGTGCAGGAGTTGTTGGATTTTGTGGGCTGTTATCTTCCCTGATTGGCATTTTAACCCTCGCGCGACCTACTTTGAGGATTAAACCCTGATAAGAAGGGTGGAGTTGACCAAAGGTTTAAACAGATCAATGATTTAATTTTAAATAACACAAGCCAGCAATAACAGGGAAGATTGTACATTTTAATGATAATTGTGTTGTGGCTTTAAAGCAGAATCTGGATTTACTTTAAGGTTTCCTGGCAATAATATAATTAGAGATGCATCAATCAAGCATTTCATGTTAGATATCAATTTTTACTTTTTTCTGAAGTCTAACTTTTCAATTGAGATATTTTTTTTTATTAAATAAGGTAAATTAAGGGATTGCAGGATAATTATTTAACATATAAAATCATGGCCCTAACCTGTGTGTGATTTTAATATTCTCATAGGAAGTACAAAGTACCTTTTACTGGTTGATTGCAAATTCAAATTTTGTTAATGCTTGTATGTGATATATTTAATGGCCAGTAAAAAAGTTCAGATTTGACCGACAGTCAACGGACAAATTTCTTTTTCTGAATAACTGGTGCATCTCTAAATATAATTAACAGCAGCTTCCTGTTGGGAATAACAACCTAAGATCAAAGACTTGACTTTGTTGCATTCCTGTTTTCTACACTACCAGCCGTTTCACAACTGATAGACGCCCAAGTGATACGAAACAAAAATTGTTTATATTGCCGGGATGTTCATCTGCTTTCAAAAATGTTTAATATTTTTTATTTGTGGAATTGTTTGAAGATTACTGGTCATCTGGCCTTTTTACTATTTCATACTTTTGAAATCTATTGGGTTTTATACATCACCTAACTATGCAAGATGTTTTGTCCAGACTAGGTAACAATTTGTACCCGTATTCGTGACTTGTGATTAACAATTGGTTCATAGTGAGAAAATAGGAATCTGTGACTCAAAAAAGTAAGATTAACAGAATGTTACTCAGTTATTTGATTTGATCAGAGATCAGTGCTAGAGTTGCAGAAAATTTAGAATTATGTAAACTTTTTAAAAGATGTTTTAAAATTCAAGGAAAAGGGATGACAATCTAATTTATCTCCATATTTGATCAAGAATGTTTAGAAAAGTGAACTATTGTCCAAGTGTTGACTAGAATAGTTTATTTGCCAGCACGAAAGGGAAGAAGATTGAGATTAAATAAATTGCTACGCAATGGGATTACAAATTGAGTGTTACTTATTGTTCAGGCCACTGCCAGTGCTGTGCTTATTGTTTGGGATAAAATGCTGCTAATTTGATATGACTGGAGAGTTAGTGGCTTCTGTCAAATGAGGGAAAGCATTTATCTTTTAATGTGCTACTGAAACAATCTGCTATAAATAGTGTTGATGAGGTTAACTCAAAGAAAAGTGATAGAGGATTAAGAGGAAAAACTTTGCATGGCCATTTTATTTGTTCAAGAAGTGTTTGAGCTAAAAATACTAGGAAAACTGGTTTGCAACTAAATGTATTGGAATTTGCTCGATGCAACATGCTTGTCTTTCAGAAGTAGTTACGCTGCTCTCTTTAAGGAAAATGACAACTTGTACAATTGAAGAGCTTTTTATTTTCAGTTTCACTCAGACAACAATACATTTTTTGTAAAAGATTATTCTCCAGAGATGTTATATTCATTCAGATATTGCAAAAATACAGTATATTCCATTGTCTCTTTCTCAATTGTTTAGTTTGGCTGTGCAAAGAAAGAATGAGCAATGCACAAAATAGTCCCTCAAAAGCTTTACAGTCATTAAAAGCAATAAATAAATTTTCTCCAAGCAAATAAAATGCAATAATATATAGTTGACATAAGATTTTATTTCACATTTCCACTGGTGTGTTATTGTTTCCAGTACCAGTAATCTATTAAAACACCTCAATGGAAAAATGTGGAAGCAGTTTGCCAAGCTGGAAGATGAAATTAAACTTAGACTGTTGCTTCAAAGCACATTTAAGCAGACTTGGCTTTGAGTTGATATCCAAATAGGTCTTCAATCCATAAGACCAAGACTGTATTCCTGGAAAACTTTGATCTAATTTATGAAATATGCCTGTGACAATAGTTTGTGCATTTAAAGAGGCATCTTTTGAGATTATGTAAAAATAGAACAAAGCACTTTTAAAAAGTGGCAACAGTGTCAAGCTAAAGATCTGTAATTAATGCTGGCAGTTTTTCTTTTCTCCCATAGGACAATAACTGATGAATCTACCTGCTCTCTGAGTGAAAAGGCACCTTCAGTAGTTAGCTCCCGCAACAGGTAAATAAGAAAAAGATACATAGGATTTTTTTTCCAGAAATGCTACACATGTCCTGGTGATACTGTCACAGGTTATCAGTTTTTTCCCCTTGTGTAATATTGTACTATGTTAGAAGTATATATTTGTAAGTTTCTGAAAGAAAATGTTTTTAAAATGTATTGCTTTCAGCAAACTATGGTTTGAAGAGTCTCGTTGTTGCTCTAACCATGTTCAAATCTCAACTTTTTAGTAGAACACTGCAAAATCCCAATAAAGTTTGGATATGCTCTTAAGTTGTTCTTATGCATTTTTTATATACCTGTTTATTTTTTTTAGAATTTCTAGTATTTGAAGCTGGTTTACACTTTATGGGATTACAGTTGTTTTTCCTCCAGTCGTCAGTGCCAATACATTTTTTTTTTATATTTTATATGTGCTCAAACACAGTAATTATTGTTACTCAAATCCTTCAAACGTGTCAGAGTACCATATTTAAAAATGTCTGTTTGATTGCAGGAAAAAAAACAACAAAAAAAAAACATTTGGCCACTAAACGTTTGGCAATTGAGCTGCTGCGCAAATAAATCATCAGAAACAAATTACATAGATTCCTGCAGGTATTCTGTGTTTTTGACTCTCTTGACAGAACTGGATGGTAGTAGAAACTCCTGTACAGTTTGTGATTATCGCACAGACAAGAAGACAACAAATGATGGGAAAAAAATTAAAACATAAGTACATGGCACAGACAGAAATAAAACAGACAACTTCAACACAAATAACCAGTAACCAAAATTACAATTGGACTAAAAACATTTATAGAAATGATCTGAGAACACTGATTTTTGCAGGATAAACCAGGAGCAACTAGGAAAGTTGGAAATGTCTGACATACAGTGCATGTGTAGGCAAGTGTTAACTTCGTTCATCCATTATAAGTCACTTTTAAGACAATAGGTGTGAGAACTGTTACTATGATGCAAATGCTTAGAGAAAACTACTAATATTCCAATTTCTACATCAGAACTAGAGTTTGTTCAGGTAAAATTAAAAGCACAGGCTGTGACCAATCAGATGCACATTGATATGATATGTATCAGTGTCTGAAATCTTAATGTGGATCCCTTTTGTGTTCTCATGAGTCCTTACAACCATTAAACCAAGCAATTTGGACCAATCTCTTGCAAATCCTTAAATTACACACTTTACTCACATTTGTCTGAATAACACCTTAATGCAACGCTCATAGAAGCTAGTAATGCATTGTTTTTAGCCAAACCTTCCATTAAATTTAAGTCAGGGCCTTTACAGCAGTAAAATTACACAATAAAATGATCATCCATCTACAGTGTGAACAGCATTATTTCTATGGAAGTAAAGCTATGGTCAGAAGACTTGAAAGATGAGTATGTTGATCATTTTATATTAAAAGGCAGTTCATGGCACTGTAGGCTACATCTGTGAAACTGACTCTAAAAGTGCACAGTACTATGTGAAATCCAGCAAATGTACAGTGGATCTATTATTGTGGAACCAATGTGATTTTCATCAACATAAACATTTTGACATGAACCATGAGTTACACCATATGTTTGTATCCACCCAAGTGATCCACACTTACAAATAAATGAATTATGCAAGTTCCTGAATAAGTTATGTGAAATGGAATGACATTGAAAATATCACTGAAGAAAATTAAGTTCATAAATGCATAAAAAGCAGAGAAAAATACTGCTTTTTCAGTGGGGGTTAGAGTTAGAAGTATACATTTGTATACTTCTGAATGCTACAGTGGGTGCCATTTAGGCCATAATCTAGAAGCAGAAAGGACATTTAACCATAAGCCAACCATACCCAGGTGCTCTTTTTAAGATTACTAAGAATAAGTCAACAATCAAGAGAATTGTACAAGAGCCATAAAGCAGTCAATAAGCATTATGAACACCTGCAACTAGCAGGAACAATTTTCCATGAAAACAGTAAGTAATGCACTTATCTGCCATGACTTCTATAAGAATCACTCCACTGCTGAAAAAAAGCACATTTAAGACCTTTTAAACTTGATGCAGTACATTTGGACGGACCAAACACAACACAAGGAGAATTTGGGGTAGATGAGACCAAAGCTTCACTTTTTGAATGACATTACACACACTACTGTGTTTGGAGGAGAAATTGCACTGCAATCACCTTAAAAACAGCAAACAGGGAAATTTCAAAGTAATAAAATCCTTATGTGGGACATTTTTTCTGCATACTCAGATTACCAGACTTCATATAACAAACAGAAGTGCTAATCTGCGTTATTACATATTAATTTAAGAACCCATTTGTACTCCATTCTTTGTATGTGTGGGTTACTTGGGTCATCACTGACCTCCAGGCAAATTTCATGGCAAAAGAATCCTTGGTGACCAAGACCAATTGACTTTTTCAATAATTTCCCTCTGTGAGTATTTTTTTTGGCATTTCTGAGAAATGAGACAGAACATTAGCAGGCATACCATTCATTTTGATTGTGGTCCGTAGACACACGTTTCAACCTTTCACTCTGCAGCAACTCCATATATCCTACTGTAGTGATCAATATTAGATCAGTTCTGCAGGTTTTTGAATGAATGACAAATTTTAATCAAGCTAAGTTCTACAAATGATTATTTTTGCCATTTTTAATCTAATTTAAACAGCCTTACAGTGCACTTGTAACTTGCATGATGTAATTTCTGCCAGCATGTTTCTTATTACTGTACTAAATTAATCATTCATAACCCTAAATATATTTTCTATCTTCAAATCCACAAACAATTTTTGTATTTAAATATAAACACTTCAGTGACATTTTTTTATACCCCTAAGTTTGATTGTACCATCACTTAATTACTTACAAATCGATACTTTAAAGTTTCAACCAGTTTAAAAATACAACTACAAATGATGTAGTTAGGTAAAGAGGATCACATCTGTTGGCCTCTCCTTTTTACTTGTCGTGTTTTACAGAAGAACTGAAACCAGCTCTTCCAGCCATAAATAGAGCTGAAAAAACTGAGCTTTAAAGGGTAACATATGATCACGAGTAGGCGGTCCAGGCCCACTTTTAACAGAGCACTTTACACCCTCCATTCCATTGACACTATGGAGGAAATTAAAGTGTCTCAGCATCCCTGGGACCTGGCTGGGCAGTCTTTGGGTCCACCTTGAGTCTTTTGGTCCACTTTTGTTGCAACCTGGTGTGGGTAGTGTGCAGTCACGAGGAAACTAATCCCTTTGTTCGGTCATATTCTCCGATCAGGCCTTTGATATGCGACAGTTTTTTGTGGAGGTACTCGCACCGTTTCTTTTCTTCTCGGTATCCAGGAAACTTCTACAAAAAAAAAACAGAAAGGGAAAAGAGTTTGTATGAAACTTTTATTGATGGATGTTTCCCATTAAATCTACAAAAAAGTTCTTAATCATTGTAAGAACTTTTGTTTTCAGTGTTTGTTAAATTTACCCATGTAAGTATGACAAACATGGCATTCATCAAAGTCAGGACATAGCAAAAGAAGTGATCAAGCTAATAAACATTTGAAAATATCTTACTTTCTTATATTTTCGATATTTTTGTAATATTTGGTCCTCCATGAGCTGAAAAAATAATGAAAAAAAAGTGTTACTGCCCTGTACATGCTGCACTTTCTCTATGGTATTTTACCAAATGAAGCAGTTTCAGCAGGCTCCCAGTACAAAAAGTACCTTGTATTCCTGTGTTCCCGGTGTGAGAGTGTTGATCTTTGAGCCCAACTGAACAAACATCTCCGTGATGGCCCCGATTCTGTCATGAAGAGCTCTATATTCATCGTACTCGGCACAAAAGTCATCGTGGTACTGTTGCCGCTGCACCAGTGTTGTCACAGTGCTGTATTTTCTGAAAAGCAAAAGGAAATGCTTTTTAATTTCTGGAAACAGAGTATGTACCGAATCCATCCACTAGATGGCTCTACAAGAATTAGATCAGAGAATGGTGTGTTGAGCAGATGTATAAATGTAGGACATAAGATCTTTTGTTTTGTGAGTTATTCTCAGTGAAGCTTTGTGACACCTTATTTATATAATCTTCCTCTGTTTATGTGAATGGGCTGAAGCAGAACCGAACTGTTAAGGGAAACTTTGGTTTTTCCTTCAAGCAATAGGTTAAAACTGAATTTCAAAACGATGCTGTAAAACGTTGCTTCAACAACTGATGTAAAGAAAGTTGGCTATGTTTTACTCATAAAAAAAAGGTTGATATAAAAAAATGTTTAAAACCTTACATGAAATAGTCCGGCAGTTCTTCAGTTGAGGCTCGGTCAACAGGTGTTTTGTCTCGCTTGTGGTCTGTAGCTGTTTAAAATACACGTTCAGGAGAAAGATTAATTTCAGTATGTTAATGGAAATCTGGCAACAAGTCTGTCATATCAAGAG